CGGTCCTCGCCCGCCCGCCCGCAGCACCGGGGGCCCAGGAGCCAGGCCCCGGGGTGGAAGGAGCATGTGGCCGGCCCGCCCCGCCCGCGGCGCCACACCCACGGGCCACCACCCTCCGCATCTCCGCCTCGCCCTCCCGCCTCCTGGAAGTCCCTCGGACCTGCCCTCCCGCGCGGCGCCCCCACGCCGCCACCCCAAGCTGGGCTCCGCCTCTTCCCGGCTCGCGCACCCGTGACCCGCAGAAACCGCTGCTCCCCGACACGCCGCCCGTTCACCCCGCTCGGAGCCGATGCCCGCAGGCCGCCTCCGCCGCCACCTCACCCCCGGTGCCGCGGCCAGGGTTTCCGGGCGCCCACGTGACCCGCGCGGTTCCCGACGCATGCTGGGAGTTGTAGTCCGACCGCGGGGGCGGGGGAGACTGGGTGGGCGGGGCTGCTTCCAGCGGCCCGCAGAGTAGTCCGTGGACCCCGCTGCGGGGCGGGGATGGGGCGGGAGGGTGCGTATACCGTCCGGGGGTGTTAGGAAAACAGCGGCGAAGGGGAAGGAAGACACGACCTGAAGAGAAATGATGTACACATCACCCTTTTGTAAAAACCTTTCTCCCGCTCTTTGTTTTTCGCAGAAAGCAACGTGTTGCTAAGTGTACTCCTGACCTGCCGGGAGGGCACAGGCTTTGCATTGTTGTTTAGTTAAATAGTTAGTTGCCCAGCCCTGGCCGGTGCGGCTCGGATGGTTGGAGCGTGGTCCATCGCACCACAAGGTGGCGGGTTCCACTCCCGCTCAGGGCATGTGCCCGGGTTGTGGTTGCCCCCCCCCCCCCCCCCCCGCCCGGTGGATTCCGGGTTGGAGCACCTGCGGGAGGCAACTAACTGATGGGTGTTTCTTTCTGGCATCAGTGTCTCTCTCTTAGTCTCCCTGTCTCTGTCTCTCACTCTTCCTCTCTTTTAAAATCAATATAAGAAAAAAAGTTTAAAAAATAAATAAGTAAATACAGTTGCCCATAGTCTACCAGTATCATTCACTGTTCTATGTCCCACCCCACCCACCAAACAAATAAATGAATGTTCAGATCCTGGCAGCCTCAAGCAACAGTTAAAGGCCTTATAACACTGAACTTTGAACAAGGGTCCTCTGTCCTCCTGAGCTGCTTCCAACTGTTGGGGAAATATAATTAGAAAAACAAAACAGCCTGGCTGGTGTGGCTCGGTGGTCGATCCATTCACCAAGAGGTTGCCGGCTCCATTCCCGGTCAGGGCACATGCCCAGGTTGTGGGCCAAATTTCCAATGGGGGGTATGCAGGAGGCAGCCAGTCAATGTTCTCTTTCATGGATGTTTCTCTCTCTCTCTCCCTCTCCCTTCCTCTCTCTAAAATAAATGAAGAAAAAAAATGTTTTAAGAAAAAAACAAACAAACAATAACTCCCAACCCAGAAAACCTCTCCACAAAGGTAACGGATTAGAAAAGTTTTATTATCGAATGAGCTTTAATCCAGGATGTGAGTGAGGCAGATCTCAGGCAATGCAGGAAGATTGCAAACGCAGACGGAATCTCCCCTTACACAATTAAGCCAGTACAACCCTTTGCAGTCACGTTCTCAAGATAACCATTAGTCCTCAAATGAGAGAACTCAACAGCACTTTTTGTTACTCATAGTTCATCCTAACTTTCTCACGGTAACTGGGGAGACCACCTGTGTTGGCTAATCCAGAGGGGAAACAAACGTCTCACTTTTTTTTTTTTTTATTCCTCACCCGGGGATATTTTTACATTTATATTCAGATAGAGTGGAGGAGAGAGAGAGAGAAACATCGATGTGAGAGAGACACTCGATTGGTTGCCACCCGCATGACCCCAACCGTGGTTCGTGCCGTTGGCCAGAATCAAACCTGGGACTCTGGTCTGCAGGCCGACGTTCTAACCACTGAACAAACTGGCCAGGGCAATGTCTCACATCTTTGGGACAGGAGATAGTTTTGCAGATTGGAGCAAGGTGCCCACACAGGAACTGAGAGTTAGGGATACTAGCTGGATGTTTACATTTCAATGATTGCCTGGTCCTGGAGAAACCGGTCCTGGGTGTGAGCCTAACCACAGGTTATGTAGCCATTATAAGTATACGCATGTATTTGAAAAGTACACAGGAAGAAATTTTGAAAGAAAAGGGAGTTTATGCAATGCTGTAGTTTTGTTTCCAGTCACCTAAGGGGATAGCTGGGGAAACGTGCTATCAGGGTAAGCAACAATAAATCAGCCAAGCCCTGGCCGGTTTGGCTCAGCGGTTAGAGCATCGGCCTGCGGTCCAGAGAGACCTGGGTTCGGTTCCCGCTAAGGGCATGTACCTCGGTAGCAGTTTGTCACCGGCCCTGGTTGGGTCATGTGGGTGGCAACCACTCGATGTGTCCCTTTCACATCGATGTTTCTCTCTCTCTCTCTCCCTCCCACTCTATCTGAATCAAATATCGAAAAGAATGTCCTCGGGTGAGGATAAAATAAATAAATAAATAAATAAAAATAAATAAACAAAAATAAAAATAAATAAAAAATAAAAACAAAAAATACATGGTATGCCCTGGCCAGTTTGGCTCAGCAGTTAGAGCATAGGCCCAAGGACCAAAGTGTCATGGGTTCGATTCCAGTCAAGGGCACGTACCTGGGTTGCGGGAGGCAACAAGTCGATGTGTCCCTCTCACATAGATGTTTCTCTCTCTGTCTCTCTCTCTTTCTCTCTCTCTCTCTCTCTCTCTCTCTCTCTCTCCCCCCCTCCCTCCCACTCTATCTGAAGATAAATAGAAAAATATCCTCAGGTGAGAATTAAAATAATAATAATAATTAATTTAATTTAATTTAAAAATACATGCTAGGATATTATTCAGACTTAAAGAAGGGATGAAATTCTGAAACATGCTACAATATGAATGAACCTTGAAAACATTAGGCTAAGTGAAATAAGACACACAAAACAAGTATTGTCTGATTCTGTTTATGTGCCATACCTAGAGTAATCAAAATTCATAGGAACAAAAGGTAGAATAGAGGTTACCAGGGGCTGGGGGAAGGGGAAATGTTTAATGGACATAGAGTTTCAGTTGGGGATAATGAAAAAGTTCTGGAGATGGTTAGTGGTGATGGTTGCACAAAAATACGAACATATTTGTCCATCCGGTGTGGCTCAGCAGTTGAGCACTGACCCATGTACCAAGAGGTCAGTTCAATTCCCGGTCAGGGCACATGCCCAGGTTTGGGCCCGATCCCTAGTTCCATGCAGGAGGCAGACAGTCGATGTTCTCTCTCATCAATGTTTCTCTCTCTCCCTCTCCCTTCCTCTCTAAAATCAATAAAAGGATAAAAATAAAAATAAATGAACATATTTCATGAACGGTAGGTACACGTAAAATGGGTATATTGTGAAATACATGTATGTGTATGTACATATGTATTTATGCAGGTATATAAAATAAGTCTATAACCTGATCACCACCACTCAGAACGCCTCTTCCATAGTTACAGTCACGTTGATGGAGAGGGTCGGAGTAGAGAGAGGCAGAATCTCTCCTTGGCTTCCGTAACAATCTGGACATCTTACTTTTGATTTCTACTCTAGATGTTCTCCAAGTACTGGGTCTGAGTCAGCTATTTTTTCTTCTTTAACAGTAACCATTACCAGAAGGAAACGTTTGACTATTAACCTCATTGACATTGACATCTAACGGGTTTTGTTTCCTGACCCTGACCATACATTTGTGGTGGATCTTGACCTACATTTCATTTCCTAGTGGCAGACATGTGACCGTGGCTCAAAGTGCGGCAGCATTTGGCAGTGTCTTTTGTCTTCTTGCTCTACCTGCCAGCATCGGGTTTACCTTACTCCAAAGAGCAGTTCCCGAAAATTGATCTGTAAATGGAATTTGGAGTAAAATAGGTCGTATTTTAAAGGTTATCTGAAGGAATCATTTTTAAAAATGTTCTTGGGTAGTGAACAAATTGTCCTCTATTTCAATGCTTCTCAATCTTTCTAGACCTCAACCCGCAGAAAGAAATACATTTTACACCACCCCCGGTTTACACTTGCAGGTCTGCAACTGACCCAAACATCTCACAGAGCAACACTGAGCCTCACTACGTGAGACACAGTCAGAAATTTCTTGCTAACCTTTCCTGCAACAATGCAGGTTGCCACCCACTAAAACTGATATCAGGACTCATTAATAGGTCTCAGCCCACAGTCTGAAAACACACTACCAATGTAAATATTTTATCAGTCGGATGTTTCTCTATATGGTGTAACTGGGCAATGTTACATTCTCCAGAGTGGAGAAAATGGAATCCCTACGATCTGAGAGCCGGTGACTCCAGCCTCTGCAGGGAGAAAAATAAGGCAAATGCACTACTGCTTTAAATGTTTTCTGCCAGCATCGGGGACTGATAAACAGTTTTCTCAGACCTAGAAATGAACCTTCGTTCTGTGGTAGATTATTTGAGGGAGAGAAAGAGACGCTTTTTCAGCTCTTTCTTCCCGTACAAATTCAAAGTTCTTTTAGGTTTTTAATCTTCTCTTTTGATCACCTCCTTTCTCTTAGTGGCTCCTCAAGAAGAGTAATTCAAATCCACAAAACAAGGAAAAGACTCCAGACCCAGATCCGTATCGTTTAAATTGCGTTCTCTCCCCTCGAGCCCCCAGCCCAGCCAAACAAGGGACATCGGGGAAAATCGGGGTGACGGCGGGGGGGCTGCATAAGAGAAAGGGAGTGGAAAGGAGGAACAGGGCAGTTTGCTAGGTATCCTGGCTGAGTTGACCGGCTGTGCCAGGTGTTCACAGGCTGTGCCCAGGGAGTGCTGCCAGCGCCTCACCTGCGCTTTGTGCCCAAGGGCAGCTCCGGGCCCAGGGGCGGTGGGAGGGCTTCGTTTTCCTTTCACTTTCTCAGGCCGCCCAACCTGACAGCTGGGGACAGAACTACAGTTCCCACCGCGCAGCGAGGCAGCAGGAGGAAGGGGCCCTGAGGGCCAAAGAGGAAACAAGAAGAAAAAGAAAACCTTACCTGCTAGCAGAGGTGAGAGAGCAGGACAGGTAAGCGACAGGTGAACCAGAAAGGTGGACGCTCCGAATACAGGATGGACGATGTCTCGGGTGGACACCGCTGTCTCCTCGCAGGGCGTGCGGGCTGAGTGAAAGGGGCTTTTGTGGAAGCCCTGAGGACTTCCTGGGGGGGGAGGTGGCATGGAAGGAAATTTTCAGCTCACGTTGTAGTAATAAGACACCGGAAGTGGGATGGCTTTCTCTATATTTGAAAAGTCAGAGGGGACAAAACAGTGGTTTGATTGTGTCTCTTGTCTACTGGATCATTGAGCCACAGGTGATTTGGGGGGCGTCCAAGAGAGGTACGGGGTTTTTACAGATTGGATATTTGTGTGCATTTTAATTTGTGTAACAATATGCACTTGTCCTTGTCTATGAGTTTAAAGAAAACCAAAGAATAAAAGGGGGGGGGGTGAAGAAGGGTATCCTCCTCCGGCAGCAGCGATTTGCAGCACATCAGAAGGAATCATCAAACGGGGTCAGGTTTCATGTATTTTTATGAGGCATTGGAGGTGGAGATCCAACACAATAGCCGGAGAAGAGTTGAGGGCCTGGGGATGTTTGCCTGGAGGGGATATGCTGGAGGCACCAAATATCTGATGGGCTGGCATGTGGAATGGGAGTCTGCCCAGACCTGGCAGAGCATGAGGGTCAGCAGATGGGGGAGATAGATTTCAACCCCCTGTGAATTAGAGCTGCGCACACAGGATGGATTTTTGCAGGAGGTAGTCGATAATATTGAGGCACAGGTGGAACGTTGAGCAGACACGCTGAAGGTGAGAATAAAATTTCAGGTGAGTGGTTGTGTTGACCAATGTTTCCCAAACCTGGCTGGGCATCAGAATCACCTGGGGAGCGTGTGCATGTATGTGTGTGCATGTTTCTAAATATCTTTAGCAGACCTGGGATGGGCTTTGAAAAATGTATGTATTTTTCATTATCTCCCCAGATAATTTTGATATAATCAGTTGGTTTGGGAAACACTGTCATTTAGAAGCTTGAAGCTATTTTCCAGTTTATGGTGAAGGATGCCGTAGACCTTCTCACGACAGTTTTTTCTTTTCTTTTTTCTCCTCACCCGAGGACATTTTCCCATTTATCATCAGATAGAGCGGGAGGGAGAGAGGGAGGAAGAGAGAGAGAGAAACATCCATGTGAGGGAGACATATCGAGTGGCTGCCACCCGCACAACCCCATCCGGGGCTCTAGACAAACTGCAACGGAGGTACGTGCCCTTAGCGGGAACCGAAAGCAGGACTCTCTGGTCCATGGGCTGATGCTCTAACCGCTGAGCCAAACCAGCCAGGGCATGACAGTTTTCTTTTTGAATATTCCCAAAATCCTAACTTCCTGGTGGAGAAAAATTAGGTGCCAGTCAGAAGAAGACCATGTCATCTAAACTAATTTCTCTGTCCAATCTTGTCGCTCCTTGCTGCTGGCCGCCTGGACGTTCAGTCTCCCCGGGGCTGGGAGTCCTTCTCCTCGTGTGAACTGGAGAGAGGGTGACGGCTAGGCATGTCCTCCAGCTGGTGAATGGCAAGGAAAGCACCCTTGTGGGCATCTCCTCTGCCATCCTCCTACAGTGTGGGCACTCGACGGAGCAATGGACACCGGGTCTCAATGACTAGGATTTCCATCCTTGCTGTCATGACTGTGTTGACCGTGCAGTAGGCCCAGCAGGAATGGCAATAGAACCCCTTCATTCTGAGGACACCCCTACAGTAATATCAACCCACCTAAGGCAGGTGTGAGCTTATGGGGGCAGCTCCCTTGCACCTGATGGTAATTAGTGTCCTTCTCCCACAAGGATGTTAGTGCTACGAAAGCAATGACCTCCCTCTGCCTTGCCCTGCCCTGGACCCCACAGGCCTTGAACAGTGCCTGGCACCTGGTCGGGGCTCACTCGAGATGCTGAATGCCTTCTTTTCTTCCTAGCTCCACTCTGGGCAGCCAGAGCCATGCAATTCTCCAGCTCAGCGCGGGCCGCAGATGAGAACTTCGACTATTTGTTCAAGATCATCCTCATCGGGGACTCCAACGTGGGGAAGACGTGTGTGGTGCAGCACTTCAAGTCTGGGGTCTACACGGAGACACAGCAGAACACGATTGGGGTGGATTTCACCGTGCGCTCCCTGGATATCGACGGCAAGAAAGTGAAGGTCAGCGGGGCACGGGGATCGCTCCCCTTCTTTTAGCCAGAGTAACACCGAGACACACGCCTGAGGAATAAAAGGTTTAAATATAAGCCCAGGCGGTGTGGCTCAGTGGTTGAGCATTGAGCCACACACCAAGAGGTAGCAGTTCGATTCCCGGTCAGGCCACAGGCCCAGGTTGTGGATCCAATCCCCAGTGGGGGGCGTGCAGGAGGCGGCCAGTCGATGATGTTCTCTCTCTTTGATGATGTTTCTATATCTCTCTCCCTCTCCCTTCCTCTCTCTTTAAAATCAATAAAGAAAAAAATTAAAAATTAATAAGATAAAAAAGTAAAAATAAAAGATTTAAATATAAAACACGAAATCATGAAAGTACCAGGAAAAAACATAAGTGTATTCATTTTTATCATTGTGGAATGAGAAAATTGGGTTTTCCAGTAGGACAAAAAACCCAGAACATCTGTGATAGTGTCAACAATAAAAATTAAAATAAAAAAAAAAGACAAGGCCCTGGCCGGTTTGGTTCAGCAGATGGAGCGTTGGCCTGCGGACCAGAGAGGCCCGAGTTTGGTTCCCGCTAGGGGCACGTACCAAAAACAAAAATAATTAAAAAAGACGAGAGCCTGGCTGATTTGGCTCAACAGTTAGATCGTCAGCCTGCAGACTTAAGAGTCCTGGGTTCGATTCTGGCCAAGGGCACATACCCATTGCAGTTCATCCCCGGCCCCAGTTGGGGTCGTGCAGGTGGCAACCAATTGATGTGTCTCTCTCACATCCATGTCTCTCTCTCTCCCCCCCACCCCCACGCTGTCTGAAGATTAAAAAAAAAGGCGAGAAACCCAGAAGCCATAAGGGAAAACATTGCTCAATCTATCTCAAGGTCAAATGCATGTGTTTCTATGTAGCAATGTAAAGGTAAAATTTCTGCATATTCAAAAATACCATAAACCAAGTCAAAAGATAAATGACAAATTGGAAAGAAATATTTGCATATGTGGGTCTCAACAAAGGACAAATAATTCCTTTAATGTGAAAAGAGCCCTGCTAAACAGCTAAGAAAAAGCTCAACCAAACAAAAAAATGGGCAATTAGCAGATTGAACAAACTGCTGTAGCCCAGGCAGTGTGGCTCAGTGGTTGAGCGTCGACCCATGCACCGAGAGGTCACTGGTTTGATTCCCGGTCAGGGCACATGCCCAGGTTGTGGGCCAAATCCCCGGTGGGGGGCATGCAGGAGGCGGCCAGTCGATGTTCTCTCTCATCGATGTTTCTATCTCGCTCTCCCTCTCCCTCTCTCTAAAATCAATAAAGGAAAAAAAAAATTTGTTTTAATTGCTGTTTCACAAAATTTATAAGAACTAGCTCATACATTTACGTAAAGATGTAAAGGTGTCCATCCTCACTCCTAGTTAAACAACCAACTAATAGTGAGAAACTGTCTTAGCCATTTGATTAGAAAAGATTAAAAAATGTTGGTAAAAATGTAATAAATGGGCTTGTTTGGGATTCTGATTAAATAAAAACAACAGTAAAAAAAACATTTTGGAGACAATCAGGAAAATGTTCACATGGGCTGGGTACTAAATGATACCAAGGAATTATCAAAAAGTTTATTAGCAGTGATAATGGTGTTGTCATTATGAAAGAAAATGCCCATTTTGTAGGGATGTATATCGATGTAAATAGAGATGAAATGACATGAAGTCTGAGATTTACTTTAAAATCCTACCTCAAAGAAACCAACAGAATGGGCAAAATCTTGATAATTATTGAATCTGGGATGATGGCTATATGATTGTTCAATTCTGTCTAGTCTTGTGCATGTCTCCAAACTTCCTTAAGAAATAAATTTTGTAAATAATGTAAGAGTATGAAGAAACAGGTACCCTCAGACACTGCTGGAGCGTATATACATTGGTGGCATTGCCTGGGATGGTAGTTTAGAGGAAATAGTATGAGGACACTCGCTCCTGAACATACACACTGGAGTGGTCCTTTAAAATCCAAACAGTTCAGCCAACACTCTCCTTTTCCAGTGTTGGTATCAGTGGGCAGGCTCAAGAAATAAACCCCAGCCCTGACCGGTTTGGATCAGCGGTTAGAGTATCGGCCTGCGGACCAGAGAGACCCGGGTTCAGTTCCCACTGAGGGCACGTACCTCAGTTGCAGTTTGTCCCCGGCCCTGGTTGGGTCGTGCGGGTGGCAGCCACTCGATGTGTCCCTTTAACATCGATGTTTCTCTCTCTCTCTCTCCCTCCCTCTCACTCCATCTGAAAAAGAAAGAAAGAAAGAAACCCCAGAATCTGTTTGAAGGGATGCTTGAGGTGAAAAGGGAAAAAAACACCAGACCCCAGGACATTGGAATCCCCTCTCCCTGTGAAGCATCCCTGGGGTGGTGGCTCCCACACGTGAAAACCCATCCACATGACCCTGGAAGCAACTGAAAAACCAGACGCGTGGGCCCCAGCCCAGACCTCCTGAATTTGGAGATCTAGAATTGAGACCCAGCAGACTGTCTTTGGCAGATGACTTAGTGAGCAAGTGCCCGTCAGGTGCGGGCCCTCCTGACGCCATCCCCTTTCCTGCCCATCTCCAGATGCAGGTGTGGGACACCGCAGGCCAGGAGCGCTTCCGGACCATCACCCAAAGCTACTACCGCAGTGCCCACGCGGCCATCATCGCCTATGACCTCACCCGGCGGTCCACCTTCGAATCCGTTCCCCACTGGATTCACGAGATAGAAAAATACGGAGCTGCGAACTTGGTCATTATGCTGATTGGTACGGTGCTTCCGAAGGGTTAGCTCGGCTGTACTGGCCCCGCCGCAGAGGCTCAGAGGCTCCGCTTTGTGTTTCCAGTGGCAAGGGAGCATGACATCATAAAAATGCAAATGGGGGGCAGGACCTCAGAAAGTGTCTGGCCTAGCCCTGGCCACTTTGGCTCAGCGGTTAGAGCGTCCACCTGCGGTCCAGAGAAAGTGTCTGGCCTAGCCCTGGCCGCTTTGGCTCAGCAGTTGGAGCGTCAGCCCGTGGACCAATGAGTCCCAGGTTCGATTCCGGTCAAGGGCACGTACCTCGGTTGCAGTTCATCCCCGGTCCTGGTCGCATCATGTGGGAGGCAACCAGTCAACGTCTCTCTCACATCGATGTTTCTCTCTCTCTCTCCCTCTCTCCCTGCCTCCCACTCTTTCTGATGATAAATAGAAAAAATATCCTGGGGTGAGGATTAAAAAAAAAAAAAGAAAGAAAAAGAAAGTGGCCCAGAAACTCCCATCAGATTCCCTTGAAAATGAGAGTAGAGTGGTGAACTTGTTAATAGCGATCCTAGCCCTGGCCAGTTTGGCTCAGCGGTTAGAGCGTCGGCCCACAGACCAGAGAGTCCCGGGTTCGGTTCCCGCTAAGGGCACGTACCTCCGTTGCAGTTTGTCCCTGGCCCCGGTTGGGGTCATGTGGGTGGCAGCCAGTCGATGTGTCTCTCTCACATAGATGTTTCCCTCTCTCTCTTCCCCCTTCTCTCCCTCCAGTTCTATCTGAAGAGAAATGCAAATGTCCTCAGGTGAGGATTAAAATAATAATAATAATAATAGAGATCCTAGAGTTTCTCACTCTGGAGACATGGGATGGGGCCAGACATCTCTGCTGGATGCCCCAGCTGACCTGCTGCTCAGGATGTGTAGACCACACAAGGAGAGTCTGGAGGCTGAGGTTCACAGTCAGATGGCTCCATATCCCTGAGGGCGCCTCTCAAGAGAAAAGACTGACACACCCGACACACCCTTGAATCAACTCGTTAAAAAAATTTTTTAATCCTCACCGGAGGATATTCTTCCATTGATTTTTTTTAGACGGAATGGGAGGGAAGGAGGGAGAGAGAGAGACAGGGAGAAACATCTGATGTGAGAGAAATACATCGATTGCTTGCCTCCCACACAACCCCGACCAGGGCTGGGGATCAAACCTGCAACCCAGGTATGTGCCCTTGACCGAGAATCAAACCCCAGACTCTTTGGTCTGCAGGCTAACATTCTAATCTCTGAGCCAAACCAGCCAGGGCTTAAATATGTTCTTATTTATTTTTTTAGAGCAAGAGGACCCTTAGGGAGTAGGAGAGATAGAAACATCTTCAATGAGAGAGAAACATCGACATTGATGGGCTGCCTCCTGAATGGCCCTACTGGGGAGACAGCCCACAGCTCAGCCATGTGCCCTGACCAGGATTCAAACGGCGACCTCTAGGTACATGGGTCGATGCTCAGTCACTGAGCCATACCTGCTGGGCTCTTTCCTTTTTGCTCAATTCCTCCACCCCCTACCCACCTACCCCGGCCCACCAGAGCTGTCTACCTGCTCTCTATGAGAAAGTATTTTTTCACTCTTTTTTATTGGGACATATTAATGCATATAAAGAAAAAATATGCAGCCCTGGACAGTTTTTCTCAGTGGTTAGAGCATCGGCCTGTGGACTGGAGAGTCCCGAGTCGGTTCAGGTTCGGTTCCCACTAAGGGCACGTACCTTGGTTGCAGTTTGTCCCCATCCCTGGTTGGGGTCTCGGGGTCGTGTGGGTGGCAAACACTCAATGTGTCTCTCTCATCATAGATGTTTCTCTCCTTCCCTCTCTCCCTCCCACTCTATTTGAAAATAACTGCAAAAATGTCGGGTGAGGATTAAAAAAAAAAAAAGTATGCAAACGCTTATCACAAAGGGAACACTTGTGTCTACACCACCTGGGTCAGAAACATTGATAGCACTGTACCCCCAAACTCCCTTCTTGCCTCTCCCCATCACCTCCTCATTCTCCCCAAAGTGCATCATGACTGTCTGCAGTTCTACTTTGCTATTGTTTTTGGACCTTATATAAACGGCATTGGACCAAATGTCTTCTCGTCTAAGCATCTTTCCCTCAACATTACGTTTAGAAGTTTCGTCCACATGGTTGCAGGTAGCTATGTGTTCTTTTACGTAGTTGCTGTAATAATCCTTTGCACGGATGCACTACATAGTTATTTCTCCCTTCTCTTGGTGATGGACATTCAAATTGTTTTCGGCTTGGGACGAGTAGGAAAACTGCTGCTCTGAGCATTCTTGTAGATTTAGTGATGCACATGGGCTCAGACTTCTCTTAGGTGCACACCTGGAGCAGAACTGCATGGTCCTGCCGTGTCTTCCTCTAACAGATAATCCGTCGCTCGCATATGCATTCATCCAGACCCACTGAATGTCCAGTCTATGCATTTCACTGTATGCAAATTATAACTAACAAAGTCAGTCCTTCATTATTCAACCCAAGGCGTCCTGATCACAAGTCTCAGCTAGAGAAAGGTCTGTCTCAGTGCCCAACACTCTGTAGCTTGGGGGAGAGAAACCGGAGCATCACCCCTGCAGTCTCACCTGGTCGCACGTAGGAGCTGACAGTCTCCCAAGAGTACAGAGGCTCCACCCGTCCCAGCCAATAAAACACACGCCTCCAGCTAGTTCCTCTGGGAACAGCAAATACCGCTTGGTCTCCTCTGGCCCTGTCAGAAGGGAAGCCAAGTAGCTTCCTTCCCATCAGCCCGTCCCCATCCTGGAACCTGACCACTGCTCCAAAATAACCAGGGAAGGGTCCCCCCCATCTGTCCCCACCCTTCCCCCCATCCTCTCGTCTGGCTCTGCCAATTCCTCGCAGCTCTTAGAGATCTTAAAAACAGTGAATTAACAGAGTGGCTGTTTCCATTCATCCATGGTTTCATTTTCACTAAACTGGCCCTCAATTACTACTTGCAAATGAACGCATGCATGCATATTGCTGAACTAAAATGTTTTTCAAGTTCATTTTTTAAAAAAAACAAACCAGATTAAGTTAACGCGGTACTTGCCTCTCTCACTCCCAGGGAACAAATGTGACCTGTGGGAAAAGCGGCACGTTCTGTTTGAGGATGCCTGCACCCTGGCCGAGAAATACGGCCTCCTTGCTGTTTTGGAGACATCAGCCAAGGAGTCCAAGAACATAGACGAAGTCTTCGTGCTCATGGCCAGGGAGCTGATCGCCCGCAACAGCCTGCACCTGTACGGGGACAGCGCCCTGAACAACCTGTCCCTGGACTCCAGTCCAGTCCTCACGGCCCAGGCGCCCAGTGGGAAGCCCCACTGCACTTGCTGAGCACCTTCGGGCCAGCAGCAACCAACGGAGGCATCGCAAAACCGAAGGTAGCCGGGTCGTCCAGTGTCTGCGGAGCATTTCAGACCCAAGTGCAGACTTGCCGCTGGTTCCCATCCTCAGTTCAGACCAGAGGCCACGACGGTTGACTGCGGACAGGGACACCACCGTTTCGTGTTGTTGTTTTTTTTAACTTTGCCTTGGACCTAAGCACAGGGGTGGGACAAGGCTTATTCTTTTTCACCTTTTTTCTGTCTCCACAACCCTTCATGTATGTTTCTACTGAATCTTGCTTCTCACTTGCAGAGGGTAGTGAAGAGAAGAGTATCAAGGGGGAAGAGGATGTTGAGAACATTCTGGAACAGCTCAGGCATGGGAGAAGGTGAAGCTCACCCTGATAAACTAGAATGCTGTTAACATCTGCTTCCTGGCCGGCACACCTCAGGGCTTTAGTTTGGGGAGCAAAGCCTTTTGACATAAAGGCCATAAATCCCTCTCACCAAATGGTCAGTAGCCATGCGACAGAAACAATTGGATTTCGCTTCATTCTAGTTTGGGCGGGTTTGACCACCCTCCTGGAATGTGGGAGGTGTCTAGTACTTCTTTCTAAATGACCAAATTGGCTCCTGGGCCAGAAGGCATTTCTGAATTGACATTCAGTTGGCTCCCAGATGAAGAGCGAACCGATCCTGACCTCGCGCCCTGGCCCTGGACCTGTGGGGAACACACCATGGTTGTTCCAAGTCCCCTGATGTTTGGATGATTGTTGCTGGGGTTCATCTTGCAGTCACAGTAAGACCCACAAAGGCCAGTCTGGCCACAACACTGGCTCCCAAGGGGGAAATGCCTGGGGAGCTCCCTGTGGGCCCAGGCCAGTGCCCCGGCACTTACAGCCCGTGCATCAGTCATTAGGTGGAGATCTGCACAAAGCAGCCTGAGCCACGTGGAGTCCTTGACAGATGAGCAGGCCATTCGGCCCCCACCAACGTCCCCTCATTTCTGTGCACTCAATCTCAACCATACTCTGGAAGCTGCATCAGCTCCTAGGATTACGCACTCTGGGGACTACTTGGCACCTAAACCCCAGGCACCTGTGACTAACCGGCCTGGGCTTCTGTTGGAATAACAGGGCTGTGACAAACCCTGGAGGACACTGAAGGGGCCCCCACAGTGGAGTAGCTTCACTGGATCCGGGCACCCCAAAGTCACCTGCAGAGAGGCACAGGCTTTTGGGGAGCTGAGCAGTGTCGAACACAACCTGTAACCTAGCTCGGGCAGGCTCCCTTTGTGGCCATGGTCTCAAAAGGCTGCGTGTTAACTGAACTCACACTTGACACTACCTCAGTGAATACTGTCAACCATCTTTGGGGCAGGTGCTCTTTGTAATTCCTGTTTTCGAAATGACGACACCGAGATAAAGGTCAGCCACACAGCAAGGAAGTGGCAGAGTCAGGATCCAAACCCAAGCAACTTGGTTCCAAAGCCCACTTTTTTAATAATTGATTTTATTGGGGATGACCTTGGTCACAGAGCCCATTTTTTCTTTTTAAAATCCTCACCCAGCCCTGGCCAGTTTGGCTCAGCAGTCCGAAGGCTAGCTTGTGGACCAAAGTGTCGTGGGTTCGATTTTAGTCAAGAGCATGTACCTTGGTTGCGATCCAATCACTGAGCCACACCGGCCAGGCAGCATAAATTCTTAAATAGATATTAAAAACTAGGCAGCAATATTTTTACAAATAAGCACCGCAAAAAGGTCGCTGGAGGTATTCCCTGAGTGGCAAAAAGGCTTGTTGTTGTATTAATAAAAATCCCATACAGTAGAATTAGGAAAACAATGGGACCTACCAGGTATTTGCAGGTATGAAGCAGGTTCAAGTATAAGTATACATGTGGCAATGCCTGAGGTGGCCCAAGAGACTTGCAAATTCTAAAATACAGAATAGTTTGATGATCCTGCTGGTATGGTTTCCTTCTTTATCTCCCATTTCTCAGCAGGTTAGACATCTGACGAGGTGTAACTTGACTCAATGAAACTATCCACAGAAATTGGACTCACTGATGAGCTGATCAGAGTCGATGAAATAAACAGTGTGTGCATTTCAAACAGCTCATCACACAGGACAGAAAGACAACTTATGGTTTTTTTATTGTTTTATTTGGGAAAAGTGCTTCTTACAAAAGGGCAGCTGTAAAATACAGAGACCTCTGTAACAATGACTTGTTTTTCTTAAAGTGAAAGAATGGGTGGGACCCAAGGAACGAGCAGTAGATGGGACAACTCAGGAGCATGTCCAAGTTATTTTCAGGAAACAGCAACAAAATGCAAGCTCAGTTTTCCAATCAAGGAATTCTAACAACGTAGCTTGTATCATGGATTGCCAACCTCTCCGCCCTTTAGTGGGAAAGCATAACTTATTACTGCGAACCAATGACTCCACTACGAGAAACACCTTAGAACACAGCTTTGAATCACATCTGTCTACCTGCAAAGCACAGGGATGGAATGAGGCAAATACCCACAAAAACAAACACAAAAACCCCACAACAAAACCCCTGAAACCAGGACAAAGGTTTGCCAAAAGGTGCCTGAACTGGAGAGGGTAGGAGATTAAGTATTAAATAGAACTGTGTGTCCAAGACTCAGTTTGTGTTAATATATGGGATAACCAGATAGTTTGAAACCTCTATGGCTAAGCCCATTTATTTATATAGACAGGCAAAGCTAGCACTGCTCTAGTAACAGCTACCAACATACTGCTTTGTCCTGTAAGATCTATTTGCCACACTAGGCTGAAACCACTAAGCCGAGGTTTTCCACTAAGGCTAAGAACACTGCATCTATGCAGGGATGAGAAGCTCACCACACGCTCACACTCATACATGCCAAAGTCTATCAGTTCTTGGGAGTCAACTTCAACTCTGCATTTCTTTTATGCCAGTATATCTTTTATATGTGTTCTTTCAGAATTTCCCTATCACACTAAACACGGTAAAAAATCTCAACACATTCGCACCTGGTTATGGTTACCCAGTAGTTATTACTTGTGTGCAATTAAACAAGAGACCAAAACCACAGAACAAGTGCACAGGGCGGGGACTGCAGGGTAGGGAACAGATAAAAACACAGATGTGCAGATTTCACCAGAAACCTCAAGTATCCGCCTCCAAGTCCGTAGCTCAAGGCTACTCGCCAAGTCCCAATCCTTTGCCCATCACCCCATCCTCGGACCCCAAAGCAGGGCCAATGCTGTCTCCTCTGAGCCCGGGTCCTCAGAACGAGTGCGGCAAGTCCACAAACAACACCCTCCGATCGTGTGAATCTGGCTGAAAACAGGACGCAACAAACCTACACTAACTGTCTGACAGTTAAATCCGTGTTACAAAAAACTGACTTGAAGGTTTATTTTTGTAACTTTTTTAACCAGAGAAAACATACTCCTTGGGGAAAGGTGAGGGAGTGGAAAGACAGGCCCTGGGTAGGAAGGGTCAGGACAGCACCTGGAGTTGCTAGGCCCGCCTAGGAGGACACGGGCACTGCCACGTCACCACAGGGGACAGCTGCTGTCTGGGCTCAGCAGGCCAGTCCGCACGCCACGCAGGGCTGCTATAGGTCCAAGTCATAAAAGTCTTCCAGCTCATCGTGAAACAAGTCCCACTCGTCTTCAGAGTCTGTCAGCTCGTCGTCCCCACCTGCAGCCCAAAGCATAAGCAACATCTCGCCCAGCTCAAAGGTGACCACCTCTTCTTCGTCGTTGTCAAAGGGGTGGCTGTTCTCTCTTTCCTCAATGAGCTCCCAGAAGTGGTTCCTTCGTTGGGCCTGTAAAAAACAAGGCCGTGATAGGGACGGCACTGCCGAGCGGTCTCTTCTAGTCTCTCGTGTCTAAGGCAACACGTCCAGCACACCAGAGGGCATGACGAACCCGACTCCGCCTTTCGGGTCTCCACTGGACCAATCCTCCCCGCTGGCTACGCGATGCGAAGGGTTAGTCTAGAGCTTTCTGTATTCTAGCTTCTCCTCGCACCCCTCCCAGCTTCCTGCCGGTGGTTTCCTGCTTCCGGACCCTAGTCTCGCTCCCCGACCTGAATCCATCTTCTCCGGCCCCTACCCCAATCTGTGCAGAACTCAACTGACAGCGTGGCATTTCCCCCTCTCGAAAAAAACAGTGAGAGTTACCCGGTATCTGCTTGATGTTCCCACTTTCTGTCTCTGTGGCTCCTCTCTACGGCCATCAGGGTACGCATGCTTGTAAAAACAGTTCCCTCCAAATGGGCAGCTCCCACGTCCTTCATCAAAATACCTGCACGCCTTGTTGCTGGAAAGGAAAATATCGCAACCCTTATTCACAGTGGATTTCAGGTCTGTATGCGACTAGCATCCGGGGTTTCTTTAAACAGGCAGGGAAAGGACCGGCACGGCAGTTTACAGCCCTCCCCGGTGTGTTCTTAGACGCGCGTGTGCCAACGCACGAAACACTAGCTAGAACAGATCCTCGGTTCCAATCCACGCTAACAGCTCTGCTACGGCAGACCCAGCAGGGAGGAGTCTTCTAGAAAGCCCCCACACAAGAACACAGGACAACTATCACATGGACTCGGGGAAAGGGAGGCCCCCGGTCACGGGGCTTCAGCTACCAGCAGCACAGACTATAGCAAGACACGCCACGGGGCAGTGTTCCCGAGGGGGACGAAGTGCACTGTCCTGGGAAGTAAAAGAAAGGGTAGGAAGGAGGTAGGAGTATATAATGCAGCACTGTTCTTTTCAAAGTGAACCCAAGCTCTGTTGGGATCTTGCTGAAGAAAAGGCTGCAGCGCTCATACCTCATTGCCTCCTTGTATTTCTGAATGAGTTTCTGCTTCTCTTCTTTCTCCTCCACCCAGTACTCACTTGGAATGACAAAGTTAGATGTGATCCGGCATTCGGGGCAGGACCTGGGAAACAATGAACAGGCTGCAGTGCAAATTCCCCTCCACGGGCCCACTCTTCAAGGACACACCCTGGTGTGCTGCCTCCAGACTTAGACTCAACCCAAAGACAAGGGCACGTCCCGAAAGGGCGCCCAACACTGCCACACAACTGACCGTGTCCTCTGAGGCAAGACAAACCCTTAGCATTCAACTCGATGGCTAGCCAGTACATCAACCAAAATAGAACTTAAGAAAAAAAAGAAGACATTTCACACAGACTCCTTTTTCTTTCGTTTAAATAAATTTATTTCTTGCAACTTTGCTCTGTTTAGTTATGTGGTTTTTGTTCAGTTATGAGAACAATCTTTAAAGATGGTGGATTATTGGCTAGCTTAATGGATGGAATAGGAAAGTGAAAAATGTAAAACGTCAGGAAACATACATTCAGAGCCAGGTAAGTTTGTTCACTGAGCCTCAGGGGCTAATCCCTTCAACACAATCTCCTCAGAAAAAGCACGAAGATTCTAACTGATACACAGGGTTTCCTCATTCAAATAAAAGTCGAGATACCAACTAACCTAGAAGCTAGCTGAAATACAAAGAAGAAATCCCAATTAGAAGAATACCCCCGTTTCAAGATAAAATGCATGCATTTAAATGCAGTCCATCTGGTTGAAAGTTGGCACAAGATACTAAATTCTTCCCCAAAACAGAAAGCACAAACGAAGATTGGGGAGGAGTCTCACTTTATGATCTTGCTCTCAAATTGGTTAGCACTCCTCCACTTGCGAATACACTTGAGACAGTAGGTGTGGTTGCAATTGGAGAGGATCCCGAAGCGGCGCTCGCTGGGGTTGGCTTTCTCGAAGACCACCTCCATGCAGATGCCACACACCTTGTCCTTACTGCGCTGGACAGCGAACGAGAGCTCCATGTCCTTCTCATGGGCCTCAATGCACGACTGGAAAAGGAGAGAACAAGTGTGATCGGCAAGTCACCGCACCATG